CACAAAATGGCACCCCGTGTTGCGCAGCAATGGTGGCAGGACCGGCCGCGGGCTAGATCAAAGTCCTCGTCGGGCCAGGTTCGGCCAATAGGCCATAGTTTAGGGACCCCTGCTCTAAGCAGTTTACAGTCTGTAAGCCAATTGCCCCCAACAAGCTGGGTACTTATTTTACCAACCTACAAAAGGATGGAAGGCTGAGTCAACCTTGGAACCCTGGGATCGAACTCACAACCTTGTGGCTGCAGTACTGGCATTTAACCACTGTGCCACCAGGGTTCCCATCAACCAACTACTTCCTGAAGCTAGTCGGGGCTGCTCCTCCTCCATGCTCTGGAAGCACGTTGACATGCAACAGCCAGCTTAGGAAAGGTGTTGGCAGACAGCATCACATGTCCTCTACTTCTTCCCAGGGCATGGGCTGGTGTATAAATGTGCTTCAAGACAGGGAAAGAGGAAAAGCCCCAGAGCTTCAAGAGGTGGATGGCTGCTGCAACCAGCCCCTCCCAGCATATTCACACACCAGCCCTGTGCTCCAGGAAGAAGTGACAGGATAAGTGATCCCTTCTGCCAGCAACTTCCCAAAGCTGGCTGCTGCCTGTGAATTTGATTCGGAGGCAGGGGAAAGAAAAGTTCTCCTGGTAGCCAACCATCGCCTGAAGCTGGGCAGGGCTGCTCCTTCTCCCCCACTCCCTAAGCATCTTCACACACAGCAGCTTGCTTGGGAAAGTTGTTGGTAGCCAGGATCACTGCAAGGGGAAGGAGGGAGAGGAGCAGAATCCTTGTCCATTCACACCACACGACTGCTTGGGAAGCTAAACTACCACAGAAGGGAGCTACCCCACTAAGGGAGTCATGGAGTAGTAGTGACATTAAGGGTCTATTGACTGATTTTGCCCGTAAATGAAAAAGTGCACAATAGTAACTGATTGCATGCAAGGCAGCAGCAGGGCGGACATGACATATGCAATAAGTACCAGTCAAAAATGCTTTAATTCTATAAAAATTCTTATTTTTAGTCTTGTGTGATAATCTCAGAGGACCTTGGATGCATCCACACTGGAGAAATAATGGCAGTTTGACACCACTCTAAGAACTGTAGCTCCATCCTATGGCATCCTGGGATTTGTAGTTTACATGACCTTCTCTGTCAAATTTCTGGTGCATTGCAAAACCACAAATCCCAGGATTCTGTAGGATGGAGCCAAGATATTTAAAGTAGTATGTGTAAACTGCATTGTTTCTACAGTAGACGCATCCACAGTCTGTCAGATAGTCTGGGTCTAAGCCTCATGGAGCTTTATAGGCTATAACCAAAACTTTGAATTGTTTCTGCAAACAGACCAGTAACTAACAAAGATTTTGCAACACAGCATTTATATGTTTCCTATAACCAGTCCAAGTCTAGCCTTTTGGACCTGTCAAAGTTTCTGAAAAGTTCCCAAAGATATTTGGGAATTTGTAATGGGTTAACTACAATTACAGCTTACAGTTGTTCTAAAATCTTTTAAAAAATGAAAAACAACTGTAGTTGAGGGCCAGGCTTATGTCGAATGATTCCTTCTGGTTGCACAGTTCCGGTTGCACAATTGTGTTATTTGTTCTCCATTGACCCTTTAAACTAGTATATAACAACTTCTAAAAATATCAGAATCCATGGAATAGAAACCAGATGGTCTGTCTGCACACATAACACCTTTCCTTCTCTCCCCCATCTCAGAATTTTTTTAAAAAAATATCAGTAGCACTTTTACACAGAAATCCTTTCGTCTTAAAAATAAACCAACATGTTATAGTAGCTATCTGTGAGAGTAGGACTCTATTCTTGCTTCTGTTCTCAAGTGGTAAATTGATATGACATAAGGCAGAAACCTTTTCCAAAGCCAGTGGCTGGAGAGCTGAAAGGATGTCTGTAATGCATTACTCTCCACAAGTGCAGCAGTCTGTAAAAGGTTCATATCCATAACTTCCATGACAAGACTATAATCCAAGTGGTTTTAGGCCAACATCTGTCTGCACTATCAGCTACTCTGGGTCAATGTGTTAGTCAAGAGAGTGTCTGCAGTATAAATCCAAAATGATATCAAGTTAATTAGAGGAACATTGATTTTGAATACACAAAGCATGTCTGTACTGCAGCTGGCCTTCACCTCAATGTGGCATATGCTCCAGATTTTCACAGATGAAAACCAGCACATGTGTGGCCATGCAACATCAGAATGTAGTCAAGAGGGCAGAGGGTTATTAATGAGAAAGAACATACGCTTTAGGAGAAGCTGCAGCAGTTTGCTTTTGCCTGAGTCTACTGGGAATTTCCTACTGAAAATTATACTTCCCTATCTCCTCTGTCTCCTGCGGAGATAACTGAATAAGAACTACTTTTGCACTTTGAACTCAGTTTGCAACAGCTAAAGTCAGCTAAGGACAAAGGGAAAGTTGAGAGGTAGATAGAGAAAACGGGACATTTAAAAAGGAGCTGGAAAAGTGGGAAGGCAGAACACAAATTGAGACTGTCTTTGCCAGATCAGGACATTTGGAGGGTATGATGGTGAACTCATCCTGAATACTGGAAGCTTCATCATTCTGCCATCAGATGTAATCATGGCTCTTCTTTCCCAGCAGTATGACTTATAAATCCTCCAGACTCTAAAGTCCTTTCAGGGGATTCTGGAAGTGTAGTCCAAAAAATAACATTCACAAACTCCTCCCTTATCATATCATTTGATTACTAGATAGAAATCAGTGCATATCATATGCTGAAGTTTAATGTGAATATTACACTATCTTTCAGTAAAGGTGTTCCGATTATTAATTTCTCTCATTTCACAAGGCAGAGCAGAAGCAAGAGAAATCCAAAACTTTCAAATAGCTCAGTGATCTGCAATTTCCAATTATGGAAAGAACATACTGAATGTGAATTCTGAGCACATTGAAATAGAGCCTATTGACTGTACAAACCTCATGGTCTCCTGTGGAGTCATTATATCTTGACCAAAGGGGGGCCTACTTAATATAATATATAATGTATGAGATCTACTCCAGTGATGAGGGCAAGATAAAGGCACAGAGTATAGGATTAACTCTGTCTGTCATGATTTATCCCAGTGCTGTTACAAGATATGCAACAAATCCAAAATTATTTCATTATACTGGAGAGCCAACCAAAATGCAAGTCACTAAAAGAAATTCAAGGGAAAAAAGAACATCACAAGTCAATGAAAGCCAAATGTAACAAAAGCACAGAGACTGGAGAGGTGGTAGTGATTCCAAGAAGAAATTAAGAAGTAACTCCCTCCCAAAACGACCACCCAGAAAATTCACAACTTCTGGATGTTTGGGGCCTAATAGGATGTGCAGATCCATGGTGCTGCAGTTGTCCTGTACTTTCAAGAGGTTTCGGACTTATGGATGCCCTAAGTCACAGGGTTTTCTTGCCAAGATTTGTGTGTGTGGGGGGGGTGCCATTGCCTTCCTCTGAGGCTGAAAAAGTGTGACTTGCCCAAGGTCACTGTGTAGTTCCATGGCTAAGTGAGGATTTGAACCCTTCTGTCCAGTCATAGTTCAACCTCAAACCACTACACCACACCAGCTCTCATACTTTACCATCTAAAAATAAACATGAAATTCAGATCTCCATCTACAGTGCTGTTCAGTTAAATATACAGATACATTATCACTGTTGAACTTCCTGACAGAAAGGGCTGTTTGACATTGGAATACACTCCCTTGGAATGTGGTGGAGTCTCCTTCCTTGGAGGTCTTTAAGCAGAGGCTGGATGGCCATCTGTCCGGGATGCTTTGATTAGGAGTTCCTGTATGGCAGGGGGGGTTGGACTGGATGGCCCTTGTGGTCTCTTCCAACTCTATAATTCTATGATTCTATCATGTTTGTGGTGCCATCATCTCCACTAGCATTACCACCCTCACCACCATCAAGGTGCATGATGCTTTAGAGAGTGGTAGAGGATAGGTTGTGGAGACCTCTAAGTCTTGTATGTGCCTCTAAGTGTATGGGCCTCTAAGTCTTGACTTATGAATTTCATGGAGTTTTCTTAGGCAAGGAATACACACAGGTGGTTTTGCCACTTCCTTCCTCTGAAATATAGCCTGCAGCATTGACAGCCTCCCATCCAGGTATTAGCCAGGGCTGACCCTGGTTCTCTTCCAAGATCAGACAGGATCACGTACCTTTCAGGTATTTTGGCAACATGGAGGAAGTGAAATAAAGAAAATAGAGAAGGAGTGAGAGATTGAATATGCCTACTTCAATTGTTACAATCGTATTGTTGGTGGGTATGTGTGTGTGTGTTTCCAAACACCATCTCTTGATCTTAATGGGAGCAAAATATTTCAGAATACTATGGAAAAGGAAGGAACGTTTTTTTAAAAAGGTGAGACATCTTCCCGTTTCAATGTTGAATAAGTTAACTTGCTAAAGAAGAGATAATTATTCCTTTAAAAAAATAATAACTTGGTTTAGTGAAGATTCCTGACATGGTATTAAAGGCAACATTTCCCAGTATGGTTTTCACAACCAGTTGAGACATTCTGAGCAAAATGGAACAGTTCACTTTAAAAGGCAATTTTAACAAGGACTAGACAAGTACCGCTGTATCCATCCAGTCTCTAAAAATATCTTGTGGTTACCTGGCACATTCTTTGGCACCCAACTCTCACTCATTGTGTTGCCACAATTTAAAAACACCAGCTCAAATGTCTTTTGCAAGTGAAGGGAATGCCTAGGCATAATACAATACCAGCCTCAATTTTTTTTAAAGCTGAAAAGGGCTCAACTAAAATCTATCTACAAAATAACTGCCTTCTCACAAAAACAGAAAGGAAAACAGTTCTGCTAATACTTTACCCAGGAAGTGCAGAAGGAGGTGTGTGTGTATTACATTTCTTCACAACCAGCCATGTTGTTAAGTCATCTTTAACTTATGGCAACCCTTATGAATAAAATATACCTCTAATATCTAATACATGAATACATAGGGTTCCTAGGTTAGGACATGGCATAATGGTTTGTGCATTGGACTATGATTCTGGAGACCAGGGTTCAAATCCCAGCTCAGCCATGGGCAAGTCACACACTCTCAGACTCAGACGATGGCAATGGTAATCCCCACTTGCCAAGAAAACCCTGAGATAGGTTCACCTTAGAGTCACCATAAGTTGGAAATGACTTGAAGGCACAAAACAACAACCAAAACAGCAACAACAGATAGGTTAGGACTATGCCAGGCACTGAGATTTTAGAGCCAAAACCTGACACTCTACGGATGAGATCCTTCTAAAAGATTTTGTTGGTAAGCAGCCCTGGTCAGGTCTTGCTGACTTAGGGCTGTGCTTCTTTTCTTCAGACTATCAAAGGTCTAAGATAGGTCTAATATGATCAGCATAATATAATTTCTCCCTGGCTTTACCTCCTGGGAACTACTAGAAGTCATGAACATAGGCAAGCAATTTAGAAGTCATGAAGATAGGCAAGCAAACTACATGGCTGGCACAGAATCAACAACTTCCTGAAGCACTGTGTGGACTTTGAGAGACCCTATTTATTTATTTATTTATTTATTCATTTGTTCATTTACATGCCACCTTTCTCCTAGATTAGGATCAATGGTGGCTCACAAAAGAACCAAGGCAATTAGTGACATCTCCCTGGGATTCTGCTTATCCACATTTCTCTTTACTTAAAATATTTTGTATACACATAAGCAAAGCATTAGCCTTGAAGGCTGCATCTACATAGCAGAATGCAGTTTGAAACCACTTCAACTGCTATGGCTCAAATTCTATCTAACAAATTCTAGGATGTGTAGTTCTGTGAGATACTGAGGACGTTACCACACTTGCAGCAAGAGAGCGGCGAGAAAG